GTTTCTCAGTGGACACCTGGCTAATGCCTCTTCCCCAGGCTGGCGGCTATGGCTTCAGACCCCCTCCTCTCCCTGCCTCACCCTATAGATGCAGGCCCTGACTTCCTGTGAGTGCACCATCTGTCCTGACTGCTTTCGCCAGCACTTCACCATCGCCTTGAAGGAGAAGCACATCACAGACATGGTGTGCCCTGCCTGTGGCCGCCCTGACCTCACCGATGACACACAGTTGCTCAGCTACTTCTCTACCCTTGACATTCAGGTACTTCAGTCCCTAGGACTTGGGGTGCCTTGGGCTTTGAACAGGAACCCTGCCCATCCACCACTTCTGCATCCTGTCCTCAGCTTCGGGAGAGCCTGGAGCCAGATGCCTATGCACTATTTCACAAGAAGCTGACTGAGGGTGTGCTGATGCGAGACCCCAAGTTCTTGTGGTGTGCCCAAGTAAGTGGCCTACCCAGGGCAGCTGACTGGAGGGATGGAGGTGCCAGGTCAGGCCTGAGATAGCTTTATGCTCTTGCACCCACAGTGCTCCTTTGGCTTCATATATGAACGAGAGCAGCTGGAGGCGACATGTCCCCAGTGTCACCAGACCTTCTGTGTGCGCTGTAAGCGCCAGGTGAGGCACATTCATCCTTTCAGAAATAACTTGCTAAAGCTGCTGGCAGGTCCTATGTCAGACTTGGGGTGTGCTGAAGCACAGAACAGACATGAACTCCGGGCTCAAAGAGCTTACAGACTCCAGGAAAGGAGGGAGGGAGGCTGAGGAGGAGGGGCAGTGAAAGAAAGGTAAGGTAAAGGAGGAAGGAAGGGAGAGAGCATAAGTACACGTGGCATTAAATTCTACAAAGAAAACACAGGACTCTGAGATTAGGAATAACAGAATGGACCTACTTAGGATGGAGAGGTCAGACAAGTCTTCTCTCAAATGGTTTAATTTAAGCTCAGGCCTGAAAGTTAAGAAGAAGGCAATTATGCAAAAGATATTCAGGACAAAAAGAGCAACACATGGAAAGGCCAAAGTCAGAAAAAGTGGTGTGTGGTTGGAGCCCCAAGATCAAGGGTGAGAGTGGTGGGTGGTCAGAGAGGAGCTAGCTGCCAGATCAGGAGAGGCCATGGGGCCAAGTGAGGAAGGTATTTGCCTTTTATTCTAAGACGAAGCTAGGGGTGATACTCTTTCATTTACCTGTTAAAAGGTTTAATATCTGAAAAAAGTTTAATATTTGAGTGCTCACTTTGGCAGCACATATTCTAAAAAGTTTAATGTTTGATACCAAAAAGTTCTCTCTGTTACAAAACACGTTAATAAAATGAATACCTGAGACCCTACCACTAGACCTCAAGACTAGAACACTCCAAAAAAACCCCAAACAAACCACACACACAACTAGAACACTCCCAGTACTGCTGAAGCTGCCTGCCTTACACTCTGAAAGACATTTTGGCTGCAGGGTGGAGCATGCACCATAGGGGAGCAGGAATGGAGGAAGAGAGACCACTAATTGAGGCAACACCTGACCTGGCCTGGAGTAGAATGGCCAGAGGAGGGATGAAGAAAAAGGGGACAGGGTTGAGATAGGCCTGGGTGGTGGGAATAAGACCTGCCGGTGAACATGTGTTGGTATGAGGAGGCCAAAGAACCAAGGCTGGCCCCTCAGTTTGAGATTGGAGCAAATGGTGAATGGCAGTGCCATAAACAAAGCCAGGGACCTCTAGATCTGAGAGGAGGGGTGGCCCTTAAGAAGGGCCCGGGGTGGGGTTTTCATGTGAAGCTTGCTTTCCCTCCCGCAGTGGGAGGAGCAGCACCGAGGCCGGAGCTGTGAGGATTTCCAGAACTGGAAACGCACCAACGACCCAGAGTACCAGGCCCAGGGCCTGGCCATGTATCTTCAGGAGAACGGCATTGGTAAGGTTGTCCTGTTAGGCCTGTGTGCCCACTCGTATGTCACTGCCAGTGGCTCTCTTCCTGAGGACCTTGTGGAGCAGTGACAGCCCCAGCCCTGACCTGCTGTACCTTACAGATTGCCCCAAGTGCAAGTTCTCGTACGCTCTGGCCCGAGGAGGCTGCATGCACTTTCACTGCACCCAGTGCCGCCACCAGTTCTGCAGTGGCTGCTACAATGCCTTTTACGCCAAGAATGTGAGCCCAGAGAATGGGGGTGGAAGGGATAGAAGGGTGGGAGGCTGCTACTGGGTGTGAGGGACAAAGACATTGAGGAGTCGCCTAGGGGAAGAGAAGAGGAAGCCAGTGGGGTGTAAAGCACCTCTCTCTGTCCCCTCTCCCCTTTCACTTGCTCCAGACCCTCCAATGTCTCCATCTTCCCCCATCCCTACACCCCTCATGCAGGGGTTCTGAGAAGCCAGGACCCCAACAGTCTCCAACTTCCTCTCTCCCATCTGGGTTTCCGCCAGAAATGTCCAGACCCTAACTGCAGGGTGAAAAAGTCCCTACATGGCCACCACCCACGGGACTGCCTCTTCTACCTGCGGGACTGGACTGCTCTCCGGCTCCAGAAGCTGCTACAGGTCAGGGGTGGCCAGCCTGGCTGGGTTTGTGAGTTGCCCAGGTTAGGAGGCAGGGCTCAGAGTGGCAAGAAAGGAAAGGTTCTGTGCTGGGAAATTCAGTGGGCTGGCATCAAGGGGATCCTAATGCCCATCCATCTGCCCCTCCTCAGGACAATAATGTCATGTTCAACACAGAGCCCCCAGCAGGAGCCCGGGCAGTTCCTGGTGGTGAGTGTCAGGACAAGCCTTGGAGAAGGGGTGAGGGTGGGCTGGGCTTCCACTGTATGGTGGGTAAAGGGGACAGTTGGGTCTGTGGTCAGAGTCCATCCTGTGCTTACTTGTGGGCTTCTTAGCAAGTTAACCTCTCTGGACCTTGTTTCTTCCTCTGTGACATGGGAGTAATATCTCCTTTGCAGCTAAGCTATTTTACCTGAGGGCCTAGCAGTTAATACTAATTTTCTTCTCCCATTCCCAAAGGATGATGATTCATTAGTTAAGCAGTATTTAATGAGACTTTCTAGTTGCACTGTTTTAGGTTCCATGAGGGTGACAGAAAGATGTTACATATGGTTCTAACCTACCCCACCTCTTATTTCCATAAAGTAAGACCTTCACAGACTAAGTTAACTGGGCAAGAGCTAAATCGCAACCAGAAGAGTTGTCCCAAGAGAGTATGTGATAATAAAAAAAGAGAGAGAGTATGTGATTATGGACCCAAAGCAAGCCTAGATAAAAGCAGGGCCAGCAAGGCCCCTGCTTCTGTTATCAGACTTGGTCTGTTGCGATGGTATCTCTAAGTGCATCCCTCCCCACCACTATCACTGTTAAAGCAGTCCCTTCCCTGGAGGCTGCCTCCCATGCCTCCATTGATACCCCAGTTCTCCCGGGGCTTTGTGGTCAGCGACCTCCTCCCAACAAAAGGGTCCCTTCCTTCCCTTACTCTTAGGTGGCTGCCGAGTGATGGAGCAGAAGGAGGTTCCTAATGGGTTCCGGGATGAAGCCTGTGGCAAGGAGACTCCAGCTGGCCATGCTGGCCTCTGCCAGTGAGTATCAGCAGGAGCATAGTGTTGGGCGGGGCGGTGGGGGGGGGGGGCGGGGGGGGGGGGGGGGGGCGGGGCGGGACGTGCAGGAGGGCTGAGGATACACATGGGTAGTAAAGGAGGTCTCTGGGAGTAGTAGGTCCTGCCGGGAAAGTGAGGGAAGGGCTCTCTGGGCAAGGGCATGGCTAGGTAATAGCAGGTGGTGTGCACAGGGGGACAGTGCCTACAAGCGCAACTGGGAAGAGTTGTCAGTCTTGTTCGTCTCAGTATGCCAGTGCCCAGCAAGGTGTTGGGCACACTCAGTTAATACTAGCCAAATGGAAGAACAAATATTCCACCCTGTCATCTCCCCAGGGCACACTACAAAGAGTATCTTGTGAGTCTCATCAATGCCCACTCACTGGACCCAGCCACCCTGTATGAGGTGGAGGAGCTGGAGACGGCTGCTGAGCGCTACCTGCATGTGCGCCCTCAGCCAGCAGCTGGGGAAGATGCCCCTGCCTACCACGCCCGCCTGTTACAGGTAAGGCTTCCCTCCAGCCTCGCCTCTGACCCCACACTCTAGAAAGAAGTCCCCTGTCCAGCTTGTGTCTGAGTTTTAAACTTCCAGTATCATCTCTCTCCTTCTGCAGAAGCTGATGGAAGAAGTGCCCTTGGGACAAAGTATCCCTCGCAGGAGGAAGTAGCTGAGGGCAAGGATCCTCATGAAGGTCTCATGGCCCAGCCTCCTCAGGAACAGCTCCAGCACCAATAAAGAGGCATCTCCTTGCCCAGGCTTCTTGGTGGTCCTTCTTCCTGGCCCCACCATCTGGGGCACCAGGGAAAGAGGGGGGTGAACACAGCTTTGCCGAAAGGGTCACCTGCAGCCTACCGCCTGACCATTCTTGGACTCAGGGCTAGGAAGGAATTGACACCATGGATGGCCAAGGAGCCCATCTCCCCAGCCAGCCCCTTGGCCTGGGCATTCTCCTCCCCTGCCTCCTTTGTTCTTTCATGGAATTCAGTTGATATTTGAGGTCACCTAATAGACACCAAGCAGGCACGATGGGGGAACACAGATGCACCGGTGGTACAGGGCTAGCCAGAGGCCTCAGGCCAGACTCCACGACACTGGCCTCCCTGGGAAGCAGTAGTGTTAACAGAGATCAAAGAGCATCTAAGGGAGTAGGGGACTGAGCCTGAGCGGGAAGGGGGCCCTCTTGTGTCCGACAGCGGGATTCCAACAGTGAGGTTCTCAGATGCTGCTTCCCCCTGGCGGCAAGCCGTTGCCCTGCAGCTCAAGCCACGTGATTTCTGAGAAAAGGCCCTTCCTGGAGGAGAACTGAAACTTAGGGTGGGGACTGTAGAAAGGGGCGGAGAGATCAGGAAGCTGCCTAGACGGCTGCCGAGCTGAGGTCAGCTGGGTCCTGGGACAGCCAGCAAGCCGCTCAGGTAAGATCAGCGGACATTCGGATGTCAGCGTGGGTCTAGAGCTAGAGGGCCCCGCCGGATTGGAGGTGGGGGGGGGCGGGGGCTCCTGGGGCCCCTCTGCCAAACAGGAATATACAGACCGCCTGTGAGCCAGGACACAGGGGGTTTGGCCTGAGTGAGAGAGTGACTGGGGACCAATGTCCCCAGCCCTATAGGCAAAGAACAGGAGGTCCCTGCTGTGGGTTGTTCAGGGAAGTCAGCCCCGGCTCCAGCTGACCCTGTTTGTTTTCTTGCTTTCTGGCCCTGCCCACTTCCGCTGGAGCTCTGCCCCACCTACCCCAGAGGCAAGAGGAGGGGACAGATGGGGGTCAAAGGATAGGTTGTGGGGGTGGTGGGTGAGGGATCTATGAAGCATCTTGCAAACAGATACTGCCTTCGCAGATGCTTGGGGCAGAGACCGGGCCTCTCTCCAGGAACCACACCAAGGGAGTTCTCTTCCAGACAACAGATTCCTGAAAAGTCAGTTTTAAGACAGTTTTAAGACCAGCGCCTAGGGTTTCCTTCCAGTTGTCGGAGCTTGGGATGTTAGGGTGTGTTTTTTGGTTACTAGTGATGGCAGAAAGAAACGGTTTGGCCTCAGGGAATTGTGAGAAATGTCCACAGGCAAAAGGTGGATGGGGTCTCTGGGGGCCCTTGCCAGAATCCAACCCCAGTGGTCAGGATCTCTGCAGATGTTCCCTCCTGAAGTATCAGTTCCACTGATGCTGCCTGCTGCTCTTGTCCCCAGGATGGCATCGGGCCGGGCACGCTGCACCCGAAAGCTGCGGAACTGGGTGGTGGAGCAAGTGGAGAGCGGGCAGTTCCCGGGGGTGTGCTGGGACGATGCAGCTAAGACCATGTTCCGGATTCCTTGGAAGCATGCAGGCAAGCAGGACTTCCGGGAGGACCAGGATGCCGCTTTCTTCAAGGTGAATGGGCCTGGAAACCAGCCCCTCCGAGGAAGGGGTGGAGTAGACACAATCTCTCACCCTCAAGAGGTCTGCCTGGGTTTCAGATAAAGGGGAGATGGGAGGGTAGAGCCAGCCGCATTGTCGTCACAGCCCAAGACAGAATGAAAATTCAAAAATTGTTGAGGATTTCAAGACAGCAGCAGCAGAGCGGGGACCTGAGCACTGGGCCTTCTGTGCAGGTGCTCAGGCCGCAGGTGCCCGCAGCCGGCTGTAGGAGAGGGTCAGCTGGGCAGGGTAACATGCTGTCTCCTCTTTACTTCCTGTGTTTCTCAGGCATGGGCGATATTTAAGGGGAAGTACAAGGAGGGAGACACAGAAGGCCCTGCTATCTGGAAGACTCGTTTGCGCTGTGCTCTCAACAAGAGCCCCGAATTTGAGGAGGTTCCTGAAAATGGCCATAGGGATGGAGCTGAGCCCTACAAGGTGTATCGGTTGCTGCCATCGGGGACCCTCCCTGGTGGGTGTCCCCTTGCCCAGCCGCTCCTAGAATCAGCAGACGTGGACAGGGGGAGGATGGAGATAGGAGGTTTCTGGGAGGGTGGTGGGCCTCCCTCCAGGCCCCTCAGTCAGAGTTCTGCCCTGTCCCTGGGGTACTCCTACCCACGTTCCCCTGCCTGGTCCTGCATATTCTTTCACTGTCTCCTCTCTACCTTACCCTCTGTTCCCACTTAAGGCTCTGACCTTTCTCCCCCTCCACAATATTCCACAGCCCAGCCAGGGACCCAGAAATCACCATCAAAGCGACATTACAGTTCTGTGTCCTCTGAGAGGGAAGAGGATGAGGGTACCACAAAGAACTGCATACTCAGTCCCTCTTTGATTGAGGACCCCCTCAAAAACGTAAGAGCTGGGGAGGGAACGGAGTGGGCCTGAGGGCAGGAGAGTAAACTAGGGGAGAGGTCAGCCAACGAATAGACACTGTGTCTGCAGGAGGAGGTGGGGGCCAGTGGGGAAGCAGGCCATTCAGAATTTGGGAGCAGCAGCAGCAGCAACAGCCCTGAGCCTCAGGAAGGTACCACCTCCCCTGCCTCTGTGTTGTTCCCCTACAGCCACTCCCTCTGGCCCTTGGATTCCCCAGTCCCCATCTGAATGACATGCCTCTGCTTCCCTTATAGGTACAGACACAACAGAAGCCCCTTTCCAAGGAGATCAGGTGTCATTGGAGAGTCTGCCTCCTCCAGACTCAGGTGTGTGGTGTTTCTGACTCCTCTCTGCTCTCTGTCCCCCCAGGTTGTCTCCCTGTAGCTACACATGCATTATCAAGGATGTCGGGGCTTGCAGGAAACAGGGCCCACCTTATCCAGACAGAGGCATTGCTTTCTAGGCGGGACACCTGGGCAGACTCCAACCTCCCAACAGCTCACTTCTCAAAAATACTCCTCGTGTTCTCTCTCTCTCCCTCCCTCCCCCCCCCTTTTTCTCAAAATGAATAAATAAACTTAAGAAAGGGGGGGGATGAGTGAAGGGAGCGCTTGGGTGGCTCGGTTGGTTAAGCGTCCCACTCTTGGTTTTGGCTCAGGTCATGATCTCATGGTTTGTGGGATTGAGCCTGGCGTTGGGCTCTGAGTTGAGAGCGTCTAGCCTGCTTGGGATTCTCTCTCTGCAGCCCCCCTCAAAATGAATAAATAAACTTTTTATTTAAAAAGTATCCCCTATGCACTCTGTTCCCTGGAAATTCACTTTGAGACATTCATTTCTGTGGGTCAAGTGGAGACCTAGTCTTCGGGACCTTCTTATAAACCGTAAGACCCTGGGCATTAAGCCTTGAGGCCTCAGTGGGCATCAGCTACCCTTGTGAGTGATGGCAAAGCCTCACAGGATGCCCCCTGGCTGGTAGGGTTGGTGAGAGGGCAGATGGGGAGGGAAGTGCCTTCTCTAACCACAGAAGGTCAGACTGCTACCCCTGCCCTTGCTTGTGTTCCCTCTGGGCCTCACGTTTCTCACCAGCAAAATGAGGATGTGGGGTTTGCCAGTGGCCCCTCCTCATTCCCCAGGACCTGGTGCTGGCCGGGTGGACCCCTGGGGTGAAGCACTGGTGCAGCTGGCCGTTCTCTGTTCGCAGACTACTCGCTGCTGCTTACCTTCATCTACGGTGGGCGCGTGGTGGGCGAAGCCCAGGTGCAGAGCCTGGACTGCCGCCTTGTGGCTGAGCCCTCAGGCTCCCAGTATGGGATGGAGCAGGTGGTGTTTCCCAAGCCTGACCCACGAGAGCCCACCCAGCGCCTGCTGAGCCAGATCGAGAGAGGTGTCCTAGTGGCCAGCAACTCCAGAGGCCTCTTTGTGCAGCGTCTCTGCCCCATCCCCATCTCCTGGAACGCGCCCCAGGCGCCACCCGGTCCAGGCCCGCATCTGCTGCCCAGCAATGAGTGCGTGGAGCTCTTCAGAACCACCTACTTCTGCAGAGGTGAGCCTGTTCCAGTTGAGCTGAGCCCCTGCCCCCATCTCTTAGGACCCCCTGGGACCTTGCAGGCTCTGCCACCACCCTGTGTTCCTTCCAGTAGATCCTTCGTTACAGCCCAGGCATGGCACCCTGCACGTGAGCGGTGCACACACATCCTGTGGGGCCCTGTGCTCAGCCCTGGCAGCTGTCTGGCAGCCAGCCTTCCCCAGCCAAGGTCTCGGAAGATGAGGCTCGGATGCAGCTCAGCACACGAGTCACATGTTGGGGACTGCCACCACATGGCAGCATGCAGTAACGGGAAGGTGCACCTCGCGGCCCTCTCCTGCATATGCACTTGCACAGGCCGACCCCATATTTGGGAGAGCTCGCACACCTCCCACACACTAGCTCTGCTGCACCCCGGGCAGCTCCTCGGGTTGTCCTTCTCCCGTCCGCCCCTGCCTGGGATTCCACTTCCTGCCTCCATTCACCTCTAAATCTCACCTTGGGAGTGGAGGCCAGGAGTACAGGGGACACAGAGTGGGAGTGTTGCAGGGCCACGCATGCCCTCGGCAGGGAGGGTGCAAGCAGACAATAGAGGTGGGGACACTTCTGTGTTAGCAGCCCAGGCTGCTGCCTTGAGGACTCTAAGCTCTTCCAGCAGAGAGCTTTGAGGGTGTATAAAAATCGGTTACCTCTAAATACTTCTTACTTGAAAAGGGGGCACCTTTTCCTACTTGCACATGGGTGAGTAGCAGCTTAGTTGCTGGCATCCCTCCTGGTGTGAGGCAACAGCCATGACCCTGCAGCTCCCGCTCTGGCCTTGGTCTCCAATTGGCCCCACACCCACCCCTCTTTCTCCATGATGGGTTCCTCTCTATTCCCTCCCTGCCTGTGGCCTCTGCCTTCTTTCTTCCAACCCTTGATCCTTTCTCTTTCATCAGACCTGGCCAGGTACTTCCAGGGCCTGGGCCCCCCACCCAAGTTCCAGGTGACTCTGAACTTCTGGGAGGAGAGCCCTGGCCCCAGCCACACCCCGAAGAGTCTTATCACAGTGCAGGTGAGTTCAGGGCAAGGGAAGACTAGCCTGCCTGTGTGAGTGGGGTGTAGGGGCTTCCAGGTGGAGAAGGGCCTTTGGTTGGCAGGGAGGAGCTCCTGGGGGTATGTCTGCCCCAGCTGTGCTCATGATCCTCTCCCCCACCTTTCCTGGCACAGATGGAGCAGGCCTTTGCCCGACGTTTACTGGAGGAGGCTCCTGAGGAGCAGGCAGCCACTCTCTCCCTGCTGCAGAGCCTGGGAGACCCGCCTTCCTCCTCTTCGCTCTGTTCCTCCTATCTCCTTTGAAAGAAACTCATTCTCCACACTGTTGACCTGGCTCCCTTGGTGATCATTCTTGGTGGTTGTCTATGATGGTTGTGTCCTTGAACTGCTCGTGTACCTGGCTGGTGGAGAACTGAAGGATGATTTTTATCCTTTTTTTAAGTTTGAGATATACCCTCTTTCATTTCTGAGAAACTGAATTGGGAAAAGTCCAAATGGTGTGAACTCAGAGGACCTTTCCTGCTTCCCCCAACCCTAAAGCCAAGCACTTTATATTTTCTTCTTAGATGTTCACTGGGGATTTAAAATAAAACTTTATTGAAAGAGGAGTCATTATCTGCTTTGTTGGATGAAAAGGTAGGTAGCAGGGGTCACAGGGAAGTGATAGAGATGTAATTTCAGAGCGGTGTACTTGGGTTTTCTTCCTGCTGACCTCTCCAGGCCCCTTTCCCCTCCTCCACCTGCAGCTTCTGGCTAGGAAGCTGTCTGGCCTCTGTGGGTTCTGAGTTTGGGGAGAGGATTGAGGTTAGCCACCCAGAAGAGCACAGCCTACAGCTGCTGTAGCCACCAACTTCACATGGAAAAATCTGGGCTCCACGGTTCTTGGCTAGAGGCCTCTGATTCGGGCCTTACAAGCGGCTTAGGGTTGGACTCTGGCTGGAGGTCTAAATGAACAGGAGAACTTGAAGTTGACTTCAAACTATGGACTAGAGGTGCTGGGGTCTGGGAGGGGAGGGGAAATCAGAGGGAAGAAAGAGCTTCTGTGCCTCCTGTGCTGAGGGCAGACCAGGCTCTGGTATCTCTTCTCCCAGTATATGGGGCACTGTCGCCCTAACATAAGGGGACTCCCAAACTGGTTTCCTCGCTCTACCTAGACCCCACCAAAGACCATGTGGCCTAGACTGCCATGTCACCAACACTCTCTTCGCTGAGATGTGAGGGCCCTAAAGCAACTGACACTTCTTTCCCATACCCCCTGTGTTTATTTTGCCACCAAACTGGAAGTTCTTCCTTTACAGGCAACTTGTCATCTTACCTCTCCATTCACATCCAGCAGATTAGTTCAGACGTAAGTCCCCACTTAACCAACTGCCACAGCATCCAGCTTCCCCCCTCCTATATGTGACACCAGCTTGGAGGAAGAGGAGCCTCCCAGACCAGACTTTCCTGTCCTTTCCCTCTTATAAGCCTTCCCTGGCTCACCTATGTGATCAAGCCTAGATGCCTGGATCCTCAAGGATCTTCTTGCTGTCTCACTTGACAAACTTCAGTGCTGCTTTTGAGCCTTTCTGCCTCCTTGGACCTTCGTTCTCTTCAGTCTTGCCCATCATCCTCCCGAGAAGCCAAGAGTCCAAACAGGAATCTGCATTAGCAGGGAAGAAAGCAGGTACTGGGTGCACAGGTACGCAAGGCCTATTGTGCCCTTGATTTTCTAAGATTCCTCCTGGCCTTTCTTCTTTGCACTTGCTGTCTCCTTGACTTCCATTTTATTTCTTTTCTTTATAATTTTAATTCCAGTCTAGTTAACATACAGTGTTAAATTAGTTTCAGGGGTACAATATAGTGATTCAACAGTGCTATACATTGCTCAGTGCTCATTGTGATAAGTGTACTTTTTTTTTTTTAATTTTTTATTTGATGTTTATTTTTGAAGGAGAGAGAGGCAGAGCATGAGTGGGGGAAGTGCAGAGAGAGAGGGAGACACAGAATCCAAAGCAGGCTGCAGGCTCTGAGCTGTCAACACAGAGCCCGACATGGGGCTCGAACCCACAAACTATGAGATCATGACCTGAGCCGAAGTCGGATGCTTAACCGACTGAGCCACCCAGGCACCCACCCTGTGATAAGTGTACTCTTAATCTCCACCTAGTTCACCCATCCCCCCACCCACCTCCCCTCTGGGAACCATATGTTCTCTATAGTTAAGAGTCTGTTTTTTGGTTTGTCTTTTTTTCCCCCTTTGTTCATTTGTTTCTCAAAATTGCACATATGAGTGAAATCAAATGATATTTGTCTTTCTCTGACTCACTTATTTCATTTAGCATATATTCTAGATCCATGTGTGTTGTTGGAAATGGCAAGATTTCATTGTTTTTTCTGGATGAATAATATACTAATGTATAGGTATACCACTTCTTTATCCATTCATCTATCGATGGACACCTAGTCTGCTCCGTATCTTGGCTATTGTAAATAATGCTACAATAAACATAGGGGTGCACACATCCTTTTGAATTAGTGCTTTCGTATTCTTTGTAGTAGTGGAATTACTGGATTATATAGTAGTTCTATTTTTAATTTTTTAAGGAACTTCCATACTGCTTTCCACAGTGGCTGCATGAGTTTGCATTCTCACCAACAGGGACGGTGGGTTCCTTTTCCTCTACGTCCTTTCCTTGTTTCTTGTGTTTTTGACTTTAGCAATACTGACAGGTGTGAGGTGAGATCTCATTGTGGTTTTGATATGCATTTTCCTGATGATGAGTGATGCTGAGCATCTTTTTATGTATTTGTTGACCATCTGGATGTCTTTGGAGAAATGTCTGCTCATGTCTTCTATTTTTTTAACTAGATTATTTTTTTGGTGTTGTATCAGTTCTTTATATTTCATTTTCATTGTCTCCATGTATTTTTTTAATTTCCTCTTTGATTTCTTGGTTGACCCATTCATTGTTTAATAGCATGTTATTTAACCTCCATGTATTTGTGGTCTTTCCAGATTTTTTCTTGTGGTTGGTTTCTAGTTTCATAGTGTTGTTGTTAGGAAAGATACTAAAAAGACTTTGATGTTTTCGAATTTGTTGAGACTTGTTTTGTGGCCTAATATGTGATCTGTTCTGGAGAATGTTCCATGTGCACTTGAAAAGAATGTATTCTGCTGTTTTAGGACGGAATGTTCTGACTATACCTGGTAAATCCATCTGGTCCAATGTGTCATTCAAAGCCACTGTTTTCGTATTGATTTTTTGTTTAGATGATCTGTCCATTGGTGTGAGGGTTAAAGTCCCCTACTATTATTGTATTACTATTGATCACTTCATTTATGTTTGTTATTAACTGCTTTATGTACTTGGGTCCTCGCATGCCAGGTGCATCAATATTTATAATTGTTACATTTTCTGGTTGGATTATCCCATTTATGATTATATCATGTCCTCTTACATTTTCTGTCATAATCCACATCCAGGCCATCAGCAAATCCTGTCATTATTCCTTTAGAATCTATCCAGAATCTGACCAGTTTTCTCTGTTTCTACCACTAACACTTTTTTTTTTTTAATGTTTTCTTATTTATTTTTGAGATAGTGAGAGTGCAGGGGAGGGACAGAGAGGGAGAGAGAATCCCAAGTAGGCTCTGTGCTATCAGCACAGAGCCAAAATTAGGGCTTGAACTCACAAACTGTGAGATCATGACCTGAGCCGAAATCAAGAGTCAGATGATGGGGTGCTAGAGTGGCTCAGTTGGTTAAACATCTGACTTCGGCTCAGGTCATGATTTCACAGTTCATGAGTTCGAGCCCCACATCGGGTTCTGTGCTGACAGCTCAGAGCCTGGAGCCTGCTTCTCCCTTTCTGCCCCTCCCCTACCCATGCTCTGTCTCTCTCTCTCAAAAATAAACATGTAAAAAAATTTTTTTAAAAAGAGTCAGATGCTTAACCTACTGAGCCACCCAGATGCCCCTACCACTAACACTTTGGAACAAGCTACTATCATCTCTCACACCTCTTTCTGCTTCCTTCCACATCTTCTTTTCTTCCTCCACTCTTGTCCACCTTCAGCCTATTTCCAACACAATAGAGATCCCCTTAACACATAAATCTCATCATGTCAGTCAAAACCCTCCATTGGCTCTTAACTCATTCAGAGTTAAAGCCCAGATCCTTAAAGTGGCCTCCAAGGTCCTTGTGCTGTGGCCCCTATCCTCCTCTCTAACCTCACCGCTTGCCATTCTTGTTCCAGGCTTCTTGAACCCACCACATTTCTGCCTCAGGACCTTTGCACTTGCTGGTTCTTTTGTCTAAAATATTCTTCCTTTAGGTAGGTGCATGTTGTCTCCTCTCTTCAGAGGGGGCTTCCCTAAGCACTCTACCTAAATAGCAGCCCTCACTACTCTCTATTCTCCTATGCAGCCTCATTCTCATAGCACTGATCCCAATTTCACGTATTTCTGTTTGTCTCCTTGCTTATCATCTCTCTTTCCCTAATGCGTTAGAACAGGGACTTGTTTTGTTCACTGCTCTATCTCCAGTGTCTCTATAGAGGAGTGTGTGGCATGTAGTAGGCATCTCATAAATGCTTGTTGAATGGAGGGATGGATGAACAAATTACTCAGTCTATTGCTTATTTCCTAAACTAGGTTCTAAGTACCTTAAGGGTAGATGCCCCCACCTTATCATCTCTGTGCTCTAATGTGAACTTATAAACACTGACAACATATGTACAGTGACTGAAACAATTTGTATTATGCAGAAACCATCTTAAACAAGCACAAGTTGACTAGGTACTGGAAATGCTGGAATTCGAGAGAGCAGAGTTCCCAGCCAGGCTGTCATTAAAGAGCTGTGTGGTCTGAGAAAACCTGTCTTATATGGGCCTCTGTTTCTCATCTGAAAGGCA